GACCCGCCCTCCCGGCTTGCAGAGCCCAGATGTGGGGAGACTTCCCCTGACTCGGCCCTGGATTTGGTTCCTGAGCCCCGAAGCTCAAGCCACGTGTCCGGCGGGCCTGGAAGTCGGACTCTCCGGACTTCGCTTTCTCGACTGGTGGTTCCGGCTCCTGGATCCGGTCTCTCCGGGACTGGCGGTCCAAACGAGGGCGGCCGCCCGACTCCTGCTCCTGCTCATCATCACTCCCGCTCCGACACGGGAGTCCAACCCTTCCTTCGTGTGCCCTCTCTCGTTATTGCTTATCTCTCCGTCCTTGGAGTTCCTGTTGTCTTAACCTCCTTTAAAGCACTTGGGGGAAACCGAGTCCACATGCCAGCCTCTCCCACACAGTGGAGGCACGTCAGTGTTTGCTGCTGGTCGTGATGGCGAGTCCAGCCAGCTGTGGTGGAAAGAGGGCATGGAGAGCTAGAAAAGAAAACAACGAGGTTCGAGGTTCAGTTTTGCTAACTACCCACGGCCAAATCACTTAATCTACCTGACCTTTGAGGTTTCCTCATCTGTAAAATTAAGATGACTGGACTAGATGATCTCTAAAATTCCTGATAGCAGTGGAATTCTATGACCTTTACGGTGTCTTCCAGTTTTTTTATGTAGCTCTGATTCTGTAACTCACTTTCTGGGATCACGTTGAAAACAGGCTTGCTTAGGTGGTTCTTTTGCATATGTATTTTAAGGTTTTTATTTTATAAGCTTATCACCCTATGTCGAGAATCCAGAGGAAACAACCTCCAACCTCAGTGTTTTCAATTTAAGAATGGACAGTCTTCACTGTTTCTTTTACTTCCTTCGTGGAGGAATCAGATTGATAGGGCAGTTTTTCTAGCTCCTGGGATCTAGCCTGTCAGAGATTACTCTAATTCATTATTTAAGTCAAGTCTGTGTCAAGTTTGTACAGTGCCTTGGTAGGAATTTGAAAAAGGCTTCCTGTTGGGATTCTAGGTTTGGCAATTGGAGCATGGACTGGATTTTCTGCTCTAATTTGTGCCCTTGGCAGAATAATCTTGTGCAGTGAGCAACCTGTCCATTGTATCCTGCAGCCTTGACTCAAAGCATCTAGGATAAGAACTCTCAGCCCGCCTTGGTGGCTCAGCCTGTAATCCCGCACCTTGGGAGGCTGAGGTGAGTGGATTGCCTGAGCCCACGGGTTCGAGACCCGCCCGGACAACTTGGTGAGACCTCATCTCTACAATAAATAAAAAAAAAATTAGCTGGGTGTGGTAGCGTGCCCCTGTAGTTCCAGCTACTTGGAAGGCTGAGGCGGAAGGATCGCCGGAGCCCAGCAGGTTGAGGCTGCGGTGGCCGGGAGTGGCCACTGCGCTCCAGTCTGGGTGACAGAGTGAGACTCCAACTCAATAAAACAAACAAAAGGAAGAAAGAAAGAAAGGAAGGAAGGAAGAAAGGAAGAAAGAAATACAGAAGATTGTCCTCTTATGGTTCATTGGATACGGCCATACTCTTTTAGGTAGTATGATCTTTTTTGAAGGAAATGTTGATTCTCAACACAATCCTGGTAGCAGGAGAAGGGAGTCCTAGATTCTCTCCTGACCTCACTATTTTGGTCTAGGGAGATGTCAGTCAGCATTCGTAGGAATTGAGATTATTTCTCCCCCTTGGAAATGAGCTGAAACTGGAAGGACAGACCCAAGCAGTGGGTCCTAGGCTGATAGTATGTAAAGGATATTTGAAAGCATAATATCTAATTTCATGTGGCTGCATGTGTTTGTTCCCTTTTTTTCCTCTAGCTATATTAAGGCAAAGGTCATGAAGTTTTCAACTTTCTTTTCTGCTTTAAAAAGTCATGGTTTATCTGATGTTTCCTGCTACTACCCTCCTTCTTTTGCTTTCTAGAGCATCTTTTCAGGGCATATGATCCTGACAAGAGGGGGAAGGGGTGGGGGCCTCTGTTCTAATCTCCACCTGCTAGAACAGGTGTCAGGTGGCTTCTCACTATTCTACATCTTCAGTGTGTACAGTGGACACAGCAGTATCTGAACTTCTGTAGCTCTATGGAAAGTATTGTATTGTGTTTTAATAATAACCCAAGACCAAACCTCCTTCACATAAAGTAAATAAGCATGATTGATTCAGACTTCTGGCATTTCTAGGCCATGTTACTGCAAGAACAAGGTGCAGGTGGAACCAAGCTTGAGGGAGTTCTTCATGTGGGAAAGTAAAAGCAGTAAAGCCACCTGGTTTGTACAACAAAAGACACCAGCAACTCATCTGCGTGTGTTACCATCCCCTCTTCTCCATTAGGCATGTGGCAAGGGCTATCTGGGAACAATGGCCATTTTCCCCTTTTTACCACTCAAAAGTTAGAGTTCAATTTTGTGCCATTTTTCCTTTACCTTAAAGCTTGTCCTTGTTGTTCACTTTAATCTGTTTTCACCTGTGTGAAAATATTAGAGATCGCTTGACGCCATGCAGTTTATCCTTTGCCAGCACCCTGCAGCTCCACGTGAAATGGTTCATCCACAGTGCATGATGGAATACCAATCTTTAGGATTAAAAAGAGGGCAGACATATAACCATACCTCATCTGCTGTATCTCCTGTTTGATAAGCCACCCATTATATATATATAATATATATAAATATATATAATATATATATATATATATTTTTTTTTTTTTGAGTTGGAGTCTCACTCTGTGGCCCAGACTGGAGTGCAGTGGCCGCTCCCGGCCACCGCAGCCTCGACCTGCTGGGCTCCAGCGATCCTTCCGCCTCAGCCTTCCAAGTAGCTGG